TATAGTAGACCCTGTTTCCAATGCTAGTCCACTAGCAACCAGAAAGTCACATTCAAATTCATCAGTGGCTGATGAGAAATGTGACTCCAGTTCCTCTATTCCATCAACAGCAGAAAAGAATAGTCCCAAAATCAGCACTCACGAAAAAACAGTTGATTTAGAACAAATAAGTAGTGGTTCCTGCAAAGGCTTGACTGTATTCACAGAATCGATTGCTGTAGATTCTGATGATGTGAATGTGAAAGCAGAAAAGGTTCATGACAGTCATATAGTGGAGCCTATTTCTAATTCTAGTCAAACCGCAACTAGAAAGTCACACCCAGATTCATCACTAGTTGATGAGAAGTGTGAATCCAATTCCTCAATTCCATCAGAATCAGAAAATAATAGTCACCAAATGAGTAATCATGAACAGACAGTTGATATAGAACAAATAAGTAGTGGTTACTGCAAAGGCTTGGCCATTTTGACAGAATCTTTTGCTGTAGATTCTGATGTTGTAAATGTGGAAGCAGAAAAGATTCATGACAGTCATATAATGGAACCTGATTCTAATTCTAGTCCAACAGCAACCAGAAAGTCACATTCGAATTCATTGCTCGATGAAGCTTACTATACTGCAGGTAATGAAATATTTTGTTACAAATCTTTTGAGTTATTGTAGTTCTGTAATTATCATTCATTACCTCAATGAGGCCTCATCCTGTGCAGATAAAGAAGGTTCAACTTACGACCAATCCTTGGCCTCTGGCACAGAGACAAGTCTTTCAGTTGTAGGATCAATTATGAAGACAGCTGAAACAGACATGTTATCAGGTGGAAAAACTGAAGATATCTTGAGTCTATCATTCAAAGATGAGGATGACTCAGTATCAAGGGGGCTATCCATAATCAAGGAGACCAATGTTATTTGAGATGAAGTGTCTAAAATTCACCTATGTTGGCAGAGCCAGCAACTAAGCAGAGCATGCTTCAACCAATTTTTTCTGTGGAGACTGAATCAAGTAAAGATAGTTAACACCAACATAGAGTATCAGAAAATAGTTTGCCTTATTCAAGTTCATCTCATAGTCAAATGTGGCACTTCCCAACAACTTGTGCAAATGTAGAATAAAAAAATAATCATATTCACCATCATCTCAACTGTCAGATACTTGTTCAATTTGCAAATTGAAATTGTAAGTTCTTATCATTTTCCTCTACTTGTTGAATATATATGGACATGCTAATAAATTTGTTTTCTGAAAGTCTATTTGCATGTCAGAACTAAGATCCCTTTTATTTATAAAAATTCTGGCATGAGCTTGATGAGACAGACCCAGTTTTTTCTTTAATACTGTAATTTTGTTTGCTTTGTTTTTATACAACTTCAAATCGGCATTGATAAATGGGATCTTAGTTCTGATAAATAGTTAAAATTTGCATGTTGAGATAAAAAAAATCATTAGCATCCTACAGGTGTGGTTTAAGTTTTAACACTTAATCCTTTTCTTTGTACACTCTTGATTCCTTGAAGTCTAAAAGAATATATTTTAAAAATTCACATGACATATGAATCTTTAAACAAATCATGCCACATAGCGAAATAACTCTAAACTATGTAGTTTGATTTGATCAAAATCAATTCTTGTTTTTCCTAAGATAATAAGTTCTGGATGAATTGACAATGTGTATTAGAGTTGAATAATTCAGCATATTCTACATTGATAGTACATTTACTTTGCTTTATTCAAATGTGCAGTGAAAGTTCTGTAAAAAATTTCTTTCATATTTTTCATAATTATAAAGTTGGAGTCTTGTAAAGGGTGATAACAATAACATCTGAAACATAATATTCAAGGTACTAGTCCATTGGAGATTTTTGGAAACTCTCAAGTAGCATCTTATTACAACTCTAGAATAAGTTGGCCCGATAAATTCACCTAAAAATGCAGACTCACAAAAATATTTATTACAAATATTCAGATGAAATTCGCTTTCATAGAACAGTATAGAATCTAAATCAAAAAGTGTCATCTGAGATACACATTCATTTCTACATAAAAGAGTCATAGATGATCTTAGACTAGAGACAGATTTCCTCCCCAGCCAATCCATGAACATCTCTCTATGTCATTTCATTTAGAAGTGTTTACCAAAATTAGGGTGAGAGTGAATTTCTAATCTATTGCAAAAGACTTGGAGGAATCTCTGTACTGTTTATTCTTGTAATTTGGTTTTCATTCAAATTTATCACCTCCTCTAGGACTTTGTCTTTTGTATTTCTCATGTCTCATGAAAGCATTTGAGGTGTAATAAAATTCACTTTGTCTTTTGTATTTCTCATGTCTCATGAAAGCATTTGAGGTGTAATAAAATTATATTAAGGATGGATAGGATTAAAAAAAACAGAAATGATTGCCTAAATAAGTTGAAATTTCATAAATATCCCTCAATGGTAGTTTCCGCATTTAATTACACAACTTTCCACAATGAGCTTTCGAACTTTTTTTCTAAATCAGACGAAATTGCATAAATATCATTCCAAAGTTTGTAGTTTCTGCATTTGCCTACACAACTTTCCGATATATATATATATATATATATATATATATATATATATGTGTGTGTGTGTATGTATAAATATATGTATATGTATGTGTATATATATATATGTATGTATGTATATATATGTATATGTATATATATGTATACTTATATACATATATATGTATATATGTGTATATATATATATGTATATGTATATATGTATATATATATATATGTATATATGTGTGTGTGTGTATATATATATATATACATATATATATG